CATTTTGCGGTTAGGCCCCCGAGGCCCTCTTTGTTGCCTTAGCTGGCGTGGCTTATGTGCAGTGTTGTTTTTGTTTTCCCCTTGAAGGAAAGTTCAAGGAATCCCTACGGGGTGTGCTGCACTTTTAAGTGTCCATTAATGCTTAGCTCAAAGGGTCAAACAGCCAATCGGACAACTTCTCAAAAATGGAGGTGGAAGAGTGGGTTGGGGTTGCTCCCTTGAGTTCAATTTGCTAAGGCACCCTTTGTGAAAGGGAACTCTGCGACATTGATGCATGACCGTCGTTCATGCTTGTTTTGTTTTTTCCTGACATTTCTACTGGGTGGGTATTAGCATAAGCTTTGCTTGTTGATTGGCCTTTTAGCTTCTAGCAGAGGTAGACTGCTTTTGCTGTGTGGCTGCTTACGAAAAGGCATTGCGCGGCCGCCACTTTTCGCGTGCATGACATGGGCACCCACAACTTTTTGCGAAACAAAATCTGTCCAACAAGAAAACCTGAAGTAGCCTTTGAATTGAACATTGGTGGGACCAGGGATGTGCACCTTTGGGGGGACATTGCGTTCTTCTTCCACCTATCCACAGGAAGCTAGCTTCTGTGCAGGGTGTTTGCCTATCCCCTTTCTCCCGAGCACCTGCGTTCCAAATGCCAGGGCTCCTACACTGGAGATCCCTGGATTCGGGTCGCCAAAGAGGCGCCTATCGGACATCACAGTTGCACGGAGCTGAAATGTGAATTTAAATTGGGTCTTGTCACTGATCACACTTAGTAATACTGGGGCTTCTGACTTGAGCTGATCGAACAATGCAAGGCTTCGACGGAGCTTACTGGTGCAGTTCATGTCCAATTCAGTTTCTACATGGCTATCCGGGCGAAGCATGTCAGATTGGCCTTTCACCAATGTTGCGGTTTGCACACTCCAGTACTTTTAATTTCCATTACAGCGCGTGGGCGGGGGGACTATCATGTTCAGATGAAAACCGTGGCTGCCCGGCAAAAATGGTAGCGAGAGCAAGTCTACATTCCCCATTGAATCAAGGCGGCATCAAACAAGAGCTTTCTAGCAGCGAGTACCAAGTTGTGACACATATACGCCTGAGCTCATTTTACAAAGTCTTCCCGGCTGATCCAAACCTCTCTGAATCCTGAAGCCGACAGATACTTTGCCCAAGCTGGGGGCAAGTGGAATTCTGCCTTGCGCCACCGGCACAACCACCACCACCACCTTCCCAATACACACTTCCCTGTTTGGTCTATCCGAGTCTTGCTTGAGGGACAAGAAGGGCTGTGTGTTGAGTGATTGTGTGTGCGCGTGTGTTAGTGCCTGTGCTTGTGTGTGTGTGTGTGAGTGTGTGGGTGCGTGGGAGTTTGTGGGTGTGTGGGGTGTGTGGGTGTGTGGGTGTTGGTGTGGGTGTGTGGGTGTGCGTGTGCGAGTTAAGGGGTCTCTAACAAGATGGGGGTTGACACCAGATTTGCATAATGGGGTCGCTACCCGCACAGCCTCCGCCACGTCCCTTTTTCTTGGCAAGGATGTCTTTGAGCCAAAGTTGCTGGAGACAGCGACCCAGGCAAGAGGGGTGGCAGTCCGTCCGATTGTCAGATCATGGTTGAATCGTTTGGTTGCGACTGTAGTTGCTCGAAACTTGTCAAGGACTCCGCCAAAAGCCATGGCAAAGTCTGAGTAATCAGTTCTCGTGCGGACTGCCGACGGGCGGCGCTGCTGGTTGTGCATTTTGTTTGTTGGAGAAACAGCTGCATCATGCTAAGACTGTGTTGCAGGTCAATTTGACAGCAGCGACCATCGTTCTTCCAAGTTTGGTTTACCTAGTCCTGACATTGCCTTACGCATCTCTCCGGGTTTTGGCCATTGGTCTCTCGCCAGTCGGATGTGGGCAGCGATGGCATCCAGACCACTCAGAGCTTTCTGCGGAAAGTTCCGCTCCAAGCAATCGAGGCAAGCCAACCGAGCCTTGGCCAGTCAAAATCCAAGGTGAGGGTTCCAACCCGGGTTCGCCCCGAAGGGCTCTTCGGAGAGTTCCTTTGGTTTCCCTTCCTTTCACGATTTGAGTTTCCCTGGTTAATGGGCCTCCCACACAATCAGAATGGAGCTGTGGGTTTATGTTTGAAACCAAATTGAGGCATGATCATACGTACGATAATGATGTGTGTGTGTGTGTGTGTTTCTTTAGCCTCTTGGATTAGCTGACTTGGCAGTTCGTTGGTAGCTTTCTTAAGAGTTCCACATTAGCTCTCAGCGCCCTTGATCCCTTTTCAAAAGCGGTGCGTTTGGGATCCAGTAAGAAAGGACAATCCCACAAAGACATGGTTCCCATCAACTCAACACGCTACGCACCTTAGTTGTTTACAGCTATCTACTGTGCTACGGTGCGAAAGCTTCTCTATTGTTTAATTTCTTGGGGAAACCAACAGGTGGATCAATGTCCTGTGTCTCTCTTCCCAGACGTCTCTTTTTAGTTTTCAGAGTTTGCAGCAAACTGCTGCGGAGCTTAGCCACTTGGACCCAGAGTTGTGTCTGTGGCAGGATGGTCATGGACACAATGGAACATGTGTTGTCTCCCCAAAGTGCAGATTTCCTTTTTGGAGGTATGCCAAGCTAGCGGCACACAAAATGCAACATGCAACACCCTGGTGCGCGCAAGTGTTGCCCAGCGGCTGCAAGATGGCAAAGCGGGGGGTTGTAAAAAGGATGGCCCCCTAGTGCCGCCCTGATCCGCCTTCAGGGGATACCAAAATCGACGAAGCTCACTGAAGCCCCGGCAGGGTGTGTCCTCCCAATCCAACCTTCAAATGCCTGTTTGTTCTACGCGGGTCTTTGGTGCCACTACAGAAGCACAATATTTGCCAGAACTTCGGCCAGAACTGCCAGCAAAACACGCAACCCGTGAATCTTTCAAAATTGCCTTCTCCACAGATGGTCAAAGATTGAGCCCAACAAAATGTGGCCCGAGGCAGGGGATGTTTGGCTTTACTGAAAGGTTGCTGGGCGCCTTTGTCCCTTAGGATGGTTTCGCCTGCGATGTCTGGCCTGGTGGTGGGCCTGCTGTTCGGTATGGCGCTCTGTGTCTCGGCTCGCGGTGCGTTTGGTTCAGAGGTCGTTCAAGTCCGTTTCCCGGATGGCACCCGCGACTTCCCAGGTTCAAACGGAAAGGCAGCTTGGCACTTACGTCGCCTGACTAACTTGCTTGACTCAATTGGTGACTCTGACTTGCCTTGACTCACATCAGGTGGGTCTTGTTTTGGTGACTGTTCGTGTGGCTTGGATTTTTGACTTGACGTGTTGTTCCGTGCTTGGTACAGCGGACATGCCCAAGACTGGGCATTACCCCTTGGGTCCCACTGCGGGTCCCACCTTTCATTGCGTTTCATGGTTTTGGGATACGTAGTTTTCTCAATTTTCTTTCCATAGCCTCGGTTTGCAACACATGGGTTGCTTAGGCCTGGATTGATTGCTTTGCCATTCAGGTCACCTCTACCACTGGCGGTCTGCAAAGGCCTCTCGGCGAGAGTAGGCCTGGTGCAAGGATGCGCACGTATATGAAGCTTGCTTTGTCACATATTCGCGCCTCAAAGGTGAATCATATATGTATATATATATATATATCTACATATATGAGCCCTCATATATATATATATATATATGTATAGATTTATTTAGTTATTTATTTATTTATTTATTTATTTAAGCCTTGCTATCGTTGTGCACGCATGCGTGCACATATAGATTGGTTTTCTCCAATTGAAACAGGCAGGTTGTTCGCGGAGTGAGATTGAACACAATCAATGTCGGACCGCGGGAAAGGCCGACCTTGACAGAATAGATAAGCAGGTGATAGCTTTGCAAAAGGAGGATAAATGAACTTTCAGGGGCTATGAGGATGCTTTAAAATGCTTCAAGCATGTCCCTGACTCAAGTTTGTAGGCCCTTACGACAGCATCTTGGCTAAGCCATGCCGGTTGAGGCTTGCCGAGTTCACGTTGGTGCGGAGATGTCAGCTTGCAATCGCTTCCATACAGCTTTCCAGCTGTGGAGAGCAGAGACTCCATATGTCCAAGAATCCGCAGGAGACGTTTGGTAAGGGATCCTCTCAGAAGATGGCTGACAACCAGGAACTGTTAGCAAGCTTGTGTCTGTTTTTGAGGTGTATGTGTTCACGGGTGGTGGCTGGCAGCTTCGCAGCTTCGGGCGCGCGTTCAAATGCCAGGTGGAGCCATTCTGCGTGGAAAAGGGGTGTCAGGCGGCTTTGTGGAATGATCTATGCATTGTGTTCTTTGGTTTGACGTTTCTTTTGGCAAACATGCAACAAGTCTTTGGTGGGACCAAGTCGTCCTTTGGACCTTTGAGAAACAAATGGGCTTTTCCATCAAACCTACAATGACAAAAGTTTTGACCGTTTGCTCAGGGGGGGAGTAAGCCAGAAAATGGCATCTAGGTTTGGCTATGTAGCCAAGCAATAAGTCACTTGCATCAAGAGATCAAGCAAGTACAGGTTCAGACCCGCTCGAAGTTTGCAAGAGGTATATCAAAGCCTAGCAACCGAAACTAAACTCCCCAAGAGGCTCACCCACTGGCTTGATGGCTTGAGGGCTTGGTTGAAGAAGCAAATCCTAGACCAAGCACAAGCTCATGACTCAAAACTGAAGTGGTGGAGGGCCATCCCGAGGAGATGGCAAGCTGCAGCGGCAGGCGCTGAAAGGAACATGTTTGACTGCAGGCGCTGGTTCCTGTTTGTTTGCAGTTGGCCAAAAAGGCATGCGCTTGTGGCTCAAGATGGGGCCGAGGGAGGGGATTGCAGCCGGAGCAGACACCAACAACGTCAGTAGCCCGTCAACACTCGCCTCTTCCACTTCTTGCCGGCAACCGGATGAGGACTCCTTGGAACAATATGTTATGTCTACACTATTAGGGCGGCCCCTGGCTTTCAGCCCAAGGGTTTGCATGCAAACTGTGAGAGAACACACGCAAACACACCCTGCCTTTGTTGGCTTTTGTTGGCTTTGACCACATTTGTTGCGGCCACCCGAGAGGCATCTTGCCAGTTTGGCTCACGCGTCCTCCCGCCATGAGCGAAAGCCCGCAGCGATTGATCACGCCTCTTGGACAGCAGACGCCAAGTGACGGAGCGCACCTTGAGGTTGCCAGGGGTTGGGCTTCTGCTCATCAGGTTTCCAAAAGGTTCAGCCAGTTTGAGTAACGGGTAGCAAACATGTTTTATCCTGGCAATCCCCTTTGTAAGTGAGGCGAGCAACGATGTATTTCAAGTTTGTAGGGTTCTGGCCTGTCACTGGGCCCAAGCTTGGTGGTGAGCCGTTGGCATCCCTTCAAGCCCACACACACCCATTCACTCCCAGTTGGTGGCCGAGGTATTTCTCCGACAAAGCAAAGGCGCCGAGGTGGGTTTGGGCGCCCAACCCTCAATGGAGCCCTCGCAAGCGGGAGCGCCTTCCAGCGGATAAGGACTGGGAAGCCAGCATTTGAGGCTTCAGACAGCCCAGTTCGGGGGCACTCTGTCTCACTACCAATGGTCAACCCTACAAAGGGCTTCCTTTTTTACCTACGCCACTGAGTGCTGAGTTGGTGAACACTGCACGTTTTATTCAAGAAAAGGGTTGGATCTGCGTTACAACTTTGACACTGATGAAATGTGGGTGTTTTACCGCTGCATGTTTAAAGAAGGTATTTCTTACAGTGGGAACGAGAAAACTGGGTGGTTTTCTTTTGACGCCGATCCGACACGGGTTCGCCAATGAGAGGAAGCAGGCTGTCCGTTCATTTTCGCTCTCCTTCTGTTAGGAGATGACGCCCGGCCCGATTTACAGCCCCAGGCACCAGGCGGGGCCAAGTCGGTAGTTTTCAGCAGGTCCCGTTGCACTGGACGAGTGATGCGCCGGTGGGTTTGCTGTTTGCTTCAATATTTGTTGCAACTTATTGGTGGTGTAGAGTTCATTTTGGAATTTTGCTCGCTTGCCAACAGTGAGCAATAACGTTAAATGGCTTAGCCTGCGATTTTGCAGCAGGTGTTTGCCACCTTTCTGAGCCTCCTGAGACCCCGGAATCCACGCCATACTGCGCCACGGCATTGAACACCTGGAAGGCCATTTCGCAACGGGCGGTTTCATCGTACCGACTATTTTGCGAGGGAAAGGAGCCTGAAGGGGCTGAATCCGATCGGAGTTTCAGGCTTTAGGCTTTGACTTGTCAACCTTGTAGCCAGCGTGCACAGACAAACAAACAAGCGAGTTCATGCTCGTGCCAGGGCCAGCGTACCGCCTGGCAGTTCGGCACAAGCAACCGAGCGCCGTGGCTTTTGCATTGGGCGCCTAGGGCGGAGGTTGTGGATGGAAGAAAGCACGGCAAAAAAGATAAAGCAAACACGGGACACCAAACCAAGGGAAAGCAGCCAAAGGAAAGCAGTACAGGCATGACCCATGACGACCATTTTGCTCGAAAGGCTGATTCAACTTTCCGTCGGTTTGGACACTTAGCTGATTCAACTTTCTTGGACACTAAGTTATTCACACGCACATACTTGTGATTGTGCATTGCCATGTATATTGGTCACATATTTGCCCATCAAAACTTACGGATTCGATGTTATCGCTCCTTCAATACAGCATTGGATGATGAGCATTTGCTTTGGCCGAGTGGCACAGTGGCACGGGCACTTGTGAGCGAGCAATCCAAATGGCGGAGAATTTGCACAAAGGATTTACCCGGTGTAAGACACGCCCGTTTCGACGAACTGTTCAGGTCCATGTGGTTCGAGATGCCAAGAGGCCACGAGCATGTTCGCAATCTTCGATGGTAGTTTGTTTCCTTTGGCCTTATCTCTTTCTCTCCCTCTCTCTCTCTCGCGCTCTTTTTTGTGTTTTTGGACAGGGTTTCGATCGGGACCTTCTTGAAAGCACCCAACAAGTTCCACCCCGCGGACCTAGGATTCGCGGGCACTAAATAGCCCAATATGTCGCCAACGTTCCAGGTTATATATGAGGTTTTGTCATCATATCCAATAGTCTACGGCCCATTTGAAGTCACTCAGTTCCCACATAACCGCACCAATACTCATTTTCTCATGTCCTCCGAGTTTTGGGAAAGGCTCATGCCCCCCGCAAGTGTACAGGAGACTTCTGATTCTTAGGTAGCGTCAGGTTGTACATTAGGCTCTATCCCACATTATGTTGTTGGCAACTTGATTTTGTATATCCCTGTGCACGTGTTCAGGAAACTTCGGGCTACATTCCCACATTTTCCTAGGTTGGGAACCGCCCCCAGGCCTCCAGTGATGCTTTTGTGTCCTTTGTTTGGAGGCGGTTCCCGAAAAAGGAGCGCCATTTAAATTCAGCATAGCCTCTGGGAATATGTTGCCGGGGCCAATCACGACTGAGGAGTGGGATCATTTGCCCCGTGACTTCTGGCCGCAGCTGGCGCCGGGCGCCGCGCCGGACCAGTACAGCATCAAGGCGGCTAGGTGAAGATCGACCAA